AAAGAGAGATGAACTGTAGTTCGCTGCGACTAGGAAACTTAGTTTGGGAAAAAAATAGAGCCTCTGGTGTTTTACATTTTAAAAAGAAAAGCTTGCTCCTGAAGAAAGTGGAACAGCACCGACAATTTTCATTTAAGGTGATGGGGAGCACGGCACAGCACAAATGAAGCCAAGTCTGAAATTTAATTGTAGAAAAAACCACCAAGCATAGCTTCTTAAAGTATTTTGTTCCTCACAAAAGTAATTAATTTCCTTAATGGTGGAGAGGAAACAGGATAAGAGGAGAATACTGTAATATTATTATGTTCTTACCCGTCTCATTATAGAGATGGCTTCTGTAGACAGAAATCGTGGATATCTTACTTCATCATTTACAATGCTGTCAAACACCTCTTCTTCATCATCTCCGGGGAAGGGAGACTATAATGAAAGTAGTAAAAAAATACTATTAAAGAGGCTTAAAAATCACTTACAGTTGAAAACAACATACATTCAGCTGACCGTTTAGAATTAGACACCCCGAAATGAAGTCTTGCTTTTCCGAGAGACAGATAGGGTAGTTTTCCATAAGGAAGAGAGAAAAGTAAGGCAAGTTGGTATTATCCCTTAATTCTTACTGAAGGGCTATTCTTTAGGATGTGCTATTAGAAGTAGAAGCACCTAAAAATGGGATCATCTTTGAACTCTGACACAAGATATACAGGGAATGTGGAAACTATGGATCGGCTCTCCTTTGGGACAGCCGCCCGTCACAAGTAACGCAGTCAAGACTAACTTGGTTTTGTAATCTCTTTAGCATGTTACAGCTCAAGGGTTTTCAAAGGGTTTTGAAGTGGCCTGACAGATGTAGGCAACACCCTACAAGCTTTTTGTCCTTTTTTACCTGAAAGGAAGCGAAAGAAAGTTGAATGATCATCATCTTTGAAAAAGAACAAAACGATGAGCAAATCTATAGTTTTTCTCTGGTTTTTGGCATGTAAGCCATCACTGTGCTACCTGGGAGATACTCTTAACAAAAAGACCAGAAGGTAAAGCAATATATGCAATGGTAAAGAACTATTCAATAGTAATTTATTTATACCAGCTCATTTACAGGGAACTGGGGCATTCTGTTCTAGTGTATGTGTAATTCAAATGGTAAACAGCATTGCATTTGGCATAACCTTTCACTACTATCCAGTTTTATGCATTAAAGTTCACTTCCATTCAAGCTACAGGAGTCAAGGAGTTTCTTGTCTCCCCAAAAGCGGTTGAAAGCAGAAGATGCTATAGCTGTACGCTTCCCAATTTGACGATAACAGATGTGCGCTGGAAACTGCGCTCCCCAAAACCAGATGTGCTATGTTCTTGCTTAGAGACACCGATATTAATGTGCCATTACTGTAAGTTGATTTAAGGCATAATGATGTAATGAAAAACAAAATAAAACAAAAATCTAGAGGTTAAGTCTTGGACCAGCTACAACTCGGTCACTTCCACAATTGCCGATAGTTCAAGCTCGTGACGTGACTCATCAACTGGTATAGCATTACAGCAGCTAGCATCAGGTAAGTAGCTGCTCAGTATTTAATGCTTCTTTTTCTTGATGAAACACATTAAGATGCTCACTGTAAAACTACGTATGCCTATACATACTGTGTATACAAGTATTGATACAACTGTGATGGATAGGGCATATTAAATGGTGACAGGCAGGTATCTTGAGTTTTGTAACCTTTTTAACATATAGTAGTTTTATGACTCCATTGTATCTTACTAGAACTTACCTCACCCACTAGCATCTCATAGATAAGTACACCAAGACCCCACCAGTCTACAGCTCTTGTATAGGAAGTTTCTGTCAGCACCTCTGGAGCAAGAAATTCCGGTGTGCCACAGAATGTGCTTGTTCTGTCTCCAAATCCCATTCCTGAAAAGTTACAGTTCATGAAAAGCAAGCAGTATTTTCTGCCACTCTACAACCTATTCCTCCAGCAAGTAAAACCTCTCTAGAGCAACTTCAGCCGATACTGTAGTTCCCCCATTCTTCCCTCCCACGCCCTCGGTTCCACCTCTGCTTCAGTAGAAGTTCTTCTATCCCGAACTACACGCAATGACCCAAATTAAGGTACCACTTACATCTTTGTCACCCAGTTATCTAACAACTTGGAGCAAAATAAGCCCTGTATGCTTGCATGAGGGGCACAGTTTGGGACATCAGCACCACAAGGACTGATGTGACACTACAAGCGGAGGTGCTGCAGAAGAAAACCATTTATTGTAGTAGTCAGTAAACCAAAAAGCTTTCCTTGTCCTTATTGCCTTTTGTCATTTATGGAACTTCTTTGTAGCTAAAGTCACAGGACTCGCCTTATTAAAGACATATTAAAGACAACAGTAATGTTTGAATACCTACTGAATTTACTAAATTCCCTCTTAAGCTATCTAAAAGGAAAAAATCTGGAGGACAGACTATACAAACTGGAGAAGGAAATGGACCTTTCCAGATCTTCCTCCCCAATGGGGTTTGAGAAAGACACTGCAAATTCAGTTGCTACCTCTATTTTTTGTCTTATTTGAAAAGTAGTTGCCAGTAGCGGGATGCTCGAAAGTAACTTTCTTGCATCTAGGCTCCCCTTTTGGGATAAATTTCTCCATTTTAGCTATAATATTCTTTGCATGTCATTTCCATATACTTAGAGTTACCACTATTTCAGAGTTAAAAAAAAAAAAAACAAAGATAGTGAGTTTGTAAAAAAGTAAGAGCGAGGTATGGATTATAATGGTACTTGATTTCATTGTACAGTGTCAACATGTTTAGAATGAGGAAAAACACCTAATGCTTTTTCTGCCGACTTGTAAAATGCAGCAGTATGCCCTATTAATAAGCAGAGATATGATGAAGAGGGGATGCTCACAACTGAAAAAAAAATAAATAAAAACATAGGGTTTTCCCTACTAAGGAACTTCCTCCTATCTCCACATTTGTACAATCAGAGATCTATTTTTTCCTTCAGTGACAGAGGGTAAGTATACACTATACACATTTGGCAGTCCAGAAGTCTCAAGGAACAGTCAAGAGTAAGACAGACTGTAGAATTCCCCTAGAAAGAAAATTTAAGGCCCGTTACCTTCTTTGCAAAGACCAAAGTCAGCAATTTTCACGAAGCCTTCTGTGTCCAGCAATAAGTTATCCAACTTCAAATCTCTAAATGAACATTTGAGAACAAAATTGCATCACTGATGTTTCTTCAGTACTATTCAAATAGCTGAAATGCATCTGTTGGAAATGGGTCAATGACTACTTACCTATATACTATTTTGTGTTCATGTAAATACTGAAGTCCAAGAACCACGCATGCAGCATAGAATCTGTTGAAAAAGATAAAGTTAAAATTTCAGTGGATTTAGTCTTGCTCTTCAGAACGTGAAGTCCATTATTATTGATCTTTTTTTATTAACGATCCTCTGAAGGTTACTGATTCTTTTTTCAGGTACAGATTAGACAAGGTCAGAGTTTTAAAGTCAGATGGCAAAACATGCTTAAACTTGCAGCTCTCGAGCTGTAGTATGTTCGCTTGGCCTGGAGGACAGATTTTCTGTAGTGTCCACTGCCGTGGCATTGAAGGATTTCTAATTTGGCTCATTCTTTCCTTTTTTAGCCTTGTCTGCTATTTTAACTTTTCATTTAGCTTTTTCATATAATCTTAAAAAAAAAAAAAAAGTATTACAAACATTAAATATTTGTATATAATTTTTGAATTCAATATAGGTTCAGGCACATGAAACCTGCATGTGTCTTTTTCTAACAAAATCAGGTAGAATTTCTGACCCTTTTAAAAACTTAAACAGTATTTACTGAAATGACATAATGTAGAGGCATGTGGTGATAAAGACCTTCGTTCTTACCCACTGACAAAATGCCCTTCATTTAATGCCACAGAAAGGGATGGATACTCACACTGCTCTTGGTTCAGAGAAGACATCAGTATGGATGTGCATCATCAGGTCCCCACCAGCAGCATATTCCATTACAAAGCAAACGTGATCTTTGGTTTGGAAACAAGCAAAAAGGTTCACCAAGAAGGGATGTCTTACACTATTCACAGTTTCAAATATTCGCTTTTCACACATCAAGCTGCAAACAGAAAATCAGTAAAAATTTCAAGCTGAATCCTGAACCACAATTTTTCAACTATCGGAAACTATTGGAAATTTATACCTCATGTTTTTTCCTCTGTTCCTCCGGATAAGATAAGAACATTTTTTGTTTCAAGAGAGAGGTTTTAATACTTGCACATACAGTAAATTGATGCCAGGATTTCCACGAAGTTACATTTAGCTTTCACAAACAAAAAAGGAAACCTAGCAGTCCATGAAAATTGTACCCTGCCAATTTTCCTTCCAAATACTCATACTTGCATTAAGTATGCATCAGTATCATGTGACATTAGCTTCAATCCATTCTTGTTTTAATTGTATACAATACATAAAGTGGAAAACCAGTAACAATATTAGAGAGATGTATCTATAGTAATGCCCGATTATTTCTCCTCAATCCAATTGGTTAATTTGTAGCTTAGTCTTAATACAGTTATCTTTCTTCCTGCAAGTCAAATGAATATAGTCACTACGAAACAGTTGTAAAAGCGCCTTCCTGCGCTAAAGCTAGACAGTTTTGTAACTGCCACTTCCCTTCCAAGCAAAGAAAAAAATCTGAGTTTTGGGGCAAAAAGATTAAAAAAAAAAAAGAACAACAGTGGAGCATACACAGGACTTAAGGGAAAATACGATGGACAAAGTATGACAGCATGTTACAGGTTGAGGAATACCATCGTAGGTCTTTCTGCCAGTAAAGAAAACATAGTCGCTGTCCTCCTGAAATGCGATGGAAGTCTCTAGAACAAGTAATTAGAACGAATAATTGCAAAAGAACCTAAATGAAAAACAGGATCCGCTTTAAGTCAGAGCTGTAGTACAGGCACATTAAGGGGGGCATGAAAACGAATCAGTGTTCCTGGGCTACACTGCTCCCTCCTTGCCCCAAAAGAAAGAGTACATGCCTGCAGCAGCCAACTATGCAGGGAGATGACAACTTGTTTTGCTCTTTCACTGAATTTAACTACTCTTTGGTAGAGCTTACAGTTGTGTTGCATGCCGAAAGAAAACACAATTGATTTATGTAAAATACAACACATGGATTCCAAACTGACCTGTCTACTTCATCACGAGCGACAATATCTCCTTTCTTTAAGGCTTTAATAGCAAACATCTCGTTTGTGTTTTTGTACTCTGCCAACAGCACCTAAAACAGAAGAGAAGCAATTCATTTAAGAACTATATCTAGTTTTTGATATAGCCTTGCCATCGGATATAGCCTTTTGACACTTACCTTTCCAAAATGTCCTCTGCCCAGTACAGCACAACATCTGAAATCCTTCAGATTGAATTGAAATCTTTGTTGTGATCTACGTAAATAAAAACCAGTCAACAATCTTCTAGTTTGTTAACTTTAAGAAATATATTCAGATCAACAGCAAAACCACTGCGTTTTTACCTTCTATCTTCAGGCTCTCGGGTGTTGGTGTATTTTATGTCTGAATGGGCAGCGTCAGGCTCACAGATTATTTCAGGCTGGAGTTTTGGGACAATGCTATTTCTGCCATTTTCAAAATCGAAAGTTGTTACTTCATCCTGTGAAGAAAAAGAAGTCTGAAAATTTAAAACTGATTGCGAAGGCAAACGAACGCAGAAATTTTACTATAAGCGTGTGAAATTCTTAACACAAGAATTCTCTAAGCTAAAATGGTATACTTTAAGATGATACAGATAAGCAAGCTTTTAACAGATGGATGAAACCTATTGCTCCAGTCATTCTGCTCTTTGTTAATAAAACCACTTTTTCCTGAATATTCTAATGATTTTGGGCTTTTGTTTCTTCTGTGGTGGAACCAATGACATGAAGAGTTAAAGATGCCAACCACGGAAACAGTTTGCCACCAAGAGTAATTGGAGCATTCTGTTGAGACAATTCTGTATGTGTAAGTTATGGGAGCATATGCTGAAATATAAGGGAAGAAATCCGTCATAAAGATGCCAATATTACAACCTTGTTAAACAGTAAAGCATGAATTTCTTAAAGCTACTTGCCTGAGACGGCACATCAGGAGCCTTTATCTCAGAGGAAGATTCACATATTTCCCCAAGGGAAGATGCACGGGGTGGAGCAGGCGGAGGCTCAGGCTCAAGTTCAAAGTCCAATTTGGCTACAGGAGAGTCACTGGCAAGAAAATAAATAACTCCTCACTGTATAGCAGAGACCATTTTAATAGTATGAAAACCAACTTAAAACTGCACGCTATGCAGATTTCTCCTAAAACAAATCTCGTGCGTGTAGATCTGTCTATGAAATAGATGTCCAAAATTAAAACATTGAAAGTCTGCAGTCTTGCAGAATAAACAGATTTGACATACATTACGTACATTAGGACATAAGCATCTCACTGTTACTCTTGCTCTGAAAAGTACTTAAAATTTGTAGGTATACCTACCTGGCTGGCAGTGTTAGTTCAGAAATGTGTGCATCAACCACTGGCCCAGTAGCAGGCACTGATGCTTGAGGGCTGAAGGTGCCAGAGTGATTTACTGTAGGAATAGCTCTTCTCACCAGCCTTCCCCAAGTGGCAATATTAATATTCATTTGAGGAGCTCTGAGAAATGTTTTGCCTGTGGATATTGTGAAAAAAGAAAATAGAGTGCAAGTAATTTCCTTACTTATTACCAAAAGCTATAATTAAAAAAAAAAAAAAAAATTCATATTAATCAGTTTATAGTTTATGAAGAACAAACTGAATTTGTCGTATTCCTTAGCAATTCCTAATTATTCACTACTAAATGCTAATGCATAATAAGGAATTCTAAACCAAAACATTTCTAAATGCAATGCCAAATCCTTCATTATCAAGAGTTTTATTCACAGGCAAATATTAGGTCTCTGTATAAAAAATATCACAGATCTGTACAATTTTTAAGCTTTACATGTTTATATTAAACAATCACCTTGCTGTTTTGAAAAAATTTTCTTCTGCCTCTGGAGTTTTGGTCTTCTTTCAATAACTGGATTAAAAAACGTAACCTGCAGTTCAAATAAGGTGTGTTATAATTCAAGTTTCAGAACAAAATGCATTCTTAAAAGTTTAAGAAAAACTTCTTAAACTATTCCGCAATATAATACTTGCAAGTATGCTCAAGTGCTTCAAAGAAACATGCTTACCTCTGCAAACAGAGTGCCCTGGGGTTCAAGATAGAGACACATGCCATGCCGTTGGTTATCCAGGAAGTCCTCCAACCTCAGAAACTTTACTGCACACAAAGATCTCCAGTCACGCCAATAAACAGAGATTTCTAATTCACGTGACTACGACAGGAAACATATACACAGGAAATTACTTATTAGCAATTGTTCTGCAAGAGCTACCTCTGTACAATCATAAGATCTAGCAACTCCAGGATCAAGATGCAGAGCTGTTACTTTAAAAGAGTGCCAGGGCTAACTAGCCATACTGAGCAAGCTCTCACTAGGATGACTGCAGCATTTCACTTCAGTTCAGACGTGATCACCAGTGTCCAAATAAAAGTATAAGTGTAAAATTCCCCCAAGAGTAGGAGGAGAGAGTCACAAACAGGCACCAGACTTTTTGAGTCAGTCTAACAGCAGCGCTAGTTCAAGATATTTTAGCTCAAGCTCTGACAACAAATTTTTACCTGTGTTTAGAAAACTTTACTAGTCTTCCATGTTGTTTACAAGTACCAATTGCATTGCACGGCTGCATAGTGACATTTTAGTACCTGCATACACACCATGATGCAAGACTTTATACAGTATCTCTAGAAATACATACAGGTTTTGCAAGGTGGTCATGAAGAGGGGCCAAAATCTTGAAACTAACAGGAACTACTGCTATATCTCGCCGGTGGGATTTACATATTCTTAGGGTGTCTTACATGTTTGTTACAAAAGCTTGTTACAAAATATGAAGAATCCTGCAATACAATGTAACAGCCGCATTGTACGTTACTCAGTTCAGTTAGCATAGTTTAATTCCATCATGACGCATCAATTTACTGTCTTTGTAGGATAGCTGTAGGTTTTAAATGAAACAATATTTAAGAAGCAGCAACAGATAAAAAAAAACTGATGGGGTTTGAAATGTGCATTTCAAATACGGAAGGATGACTGGTCATGCCCAGCAGAAGCAAGGTCTTTTTCTGGCACCAAAAAGCATCTAATACTGAGTTCTTAAATAGTGAATGTGACACATACTAGGCTGGTAGGAGCAGCTACTAAACTTTGACTACTTCTAGTCTTAATCTGAGAATAATCAAGGCTTGAGGACTCCACAGCTGCTAGTTTTGTTCTGCACTACTCCTAACTGGAACCCGAATTTCTCGATTTTCTACCTGCAGGTCTAAAACTGCTTCCTTCCTCGATGGAAGGAATCTGGCTTGGGGCTCGGAGGGGTGGGGTGAGGCAGGGAGAGAGCAAAAACAGGAAGGTGGCTGGTTTTTTTTTTTCCTCATTTGTTTTAGATATATACTAGAGATGACATTTAGGCTCCTAAAATATAGTTTATTTTTCAGTTTATTCTAAACACTGATGGGAAAAAAAAAAATCCTCGTATCTTAAAATACTATGACTATCAGGTATCTAAAAACCAAATGCTTGATTAAACCTAAATAACATAAATTCTCTTCAAAAGGTGTGAGGAAAGAAACATCAAGTATAATTTCGATACTTGTGTCCTGGAAGTAACATTTAAAGTTCTAGGAAAGAACTCTTAGCAAATTTATTTATTATTACTGAAGAACTGATCAGCTTCACATGAGAACGCTTTTACAGAAGCACTGTAAAAACTCTATGACATAGCTTTACCAAAACATCCAAACTGTATTTGACATTAGAAATTACTGATAAATAATGAGAAGTTGATGATCCTAATAAAAATTTAAGCACCATCTATCACAGACTAAAAAGATGCTAAGTGTTAGATCTTGGATAAAAATATTATGTCAGTGTGTAGGCCAGAAAAGGTAAAATTTCTGGCACGCCAGCCCAGCATAACAACTTAACCTCAGGGAGCTCATTCTGTTAAGGATGGGAATACTTGCACATATGAAATCTGAACACAATCACAACAACAGGAAAAAAGAAAGCAAGCAACATGAAATTAATCTAAAGAATTGACTACAGCTGTCAGTGAAGTAAGACCACATTTTTACCCTGTCTAGTTCCAGTGTAAATTTCTGATCCCATGACTGATTGGAAATAGGTTTCCAGCTAGTTTGACCAACCACAGTGTTATCCAGCTTCAGTACAGCACAGACTTCATCTGTAAGTAAAGTACACAAACTCAGCTTAAATCTTTAAGAGGATTTTCCACAAACAAAAAAATCTTCAGTAAGTTTCCCTTAAAAATGTAATCTCATATTTAATTGGTTCTTATGGGCATAATAGTGTGGTTGTGGGTTTGGGTGTTTTTTTTCTTTTTTAAAACTTGACAGATGAAGAAACACGTAAGTTTAAAGCTTCAAATCAATTTAGTATTTTAAATTACGGAACACGACATGCACATTAAAATGTAAATAAAAGATACGCATAAAAATAAGATAAGTAAGAGGATACTGAACTGGACAAGTCATCAGTTTTCAGAAGGTTCCTACTACTCCCACTTTTACTTTTACTGGTTCTGCTCATGAAAGATGTTCTGGCTTCATTTGGACTCCAACCAGGTAGCGTAATCGATGTGGCTTTTGATCGACCAGGGACATTTTCCAAAATATCTTGGCAGCCCATCAGCCTAACTTCCAGGGTACCTAGAACAAGACAGACAATGATTTATCAAAGATTTCTGTTCTTAAGTAAACAAAGTGAATGACTAGTGATTGATTTATGGCAATAGCTCACATTCTGACCCCTGCAGGGTAGAACAGAAATATCAGATGAAATCAAAAGACAGACCTAAGACAGACAAATACACTGAAAACAAGCATTAAAAGTCAAATATGTGGGACTCAACCTTCTAGAAGGAGCAAGAGTTCACCAAAACAACACAAAATTCAAGTTTTTGTTCCGTGTCTCAGAAGTATCTTTGTTTTCTTCACTTGCGAACCCAACTGACTTGGGTTCAAATCGTAAGCAATGTCACTTTTTTAAGATGACAAATCCTAAGTTTCTTATTAAAACAAGGCATGTTGCAGATGGGACAATAATAATTTTCCACCAGTTTTATATAACCAATTAATATTGGATACATTGCTTTGGTAATTAAAATGAACACATTGACTATTGAGACTACAAATTTGTTTAAGATACAGTCAGAAATCACATTTGCCTGCTGCATGCTAAAGTCAAATTGGAGTTCGTACATAATTCAAAAATCATGGAATTGTTCCAGCTTGACTGAATTTGGATTTATAAAAGCTGAAACGAGAAGCTACTCTTCAAAAATCTTCTACATCTTTAACCAGATGAGGTATGGAGGCTGCTGATCTAATTTAAGAGTTTCCTCCAGCAGCACAGAAACATCTGAATACCACAGATGGTTACAAGAACGGTAGCCTTACCTCATCCTGTACAAGATAGCATCTGTAAAACTGTAACACCACTAACAAAATTAACTATTAGAAGTCATGAAATTAGCCAGTTCATAATCATATTGTCAGCTAGAAATGCAGCTCCTGAATGCAGTATTCTTTTGATAGCAAATGTACTTAAGTGTGACACTTAAAAGTACTCTTTTGTAACAGAAACTTAAGTCAGACTTGGCCTAAAAATGGTCTGGCAACTTTACAGCCCACAGAATAGACACCAAGAAACCAGTCTGAACAGAAATCCCATCCTGTAGGGAACTAACAGCCCTAAGCGACAGCTAAGCATTAGGCTATGAAGACAGAGAGATGCTACTGGCTCCCAAGACAGGTTAAAAGGTAAAAGAATACTTCATTCCCAAACTCTGTTTAGGGGGAAAAAAAAAAAAAAAGAAGAAAGAAACTAATAAGCAGAAAGGCTATAATCTTGCACAAGGACTGGATGCGTATCAGAAAGTTCTGTTGATGCACTTTAAGAAGTATGACAGTAGCACTGATCTATTTTTCACAGTGTTAGAGGCAAAACACAAAGACACCGTTCATTTAAATCCAGTTCAATACAAAAGCTCTTTGTGTAGCCAATATGAAAGTGAAACTATTAAGAACTTCACAAGCATGTAGCTCTGTTTTGATAATTCCTGTTAGAAACTGTTCATATGTATCAGTAAGTCACATTTAAAGAGGAATTATTTGTCACTATAATGTATCTGTGATTATGTATTGAAAGAAAAGAATTAAAAAAAAAAAAAAAAAAGAAAAAGAAAAGCTGTTTTAAAACCAAGGCACCATATTTCCTGCCCATGGTCACTGATCATTTGAGATTCCACATGAGGAAAAAAAGTTCCCCTCACCACTCTGCAGCTTTACAAGGGCTCTCGGCTGAGGTCCTGATGCTTTTTACCCTTTGCTACGTGTCTTACTGAAGCAAAATGGAAGACAAGTAGACTCGCTCCATTTTATTATTATTGCAGCTCAGCAGAAGAGTTCCTCTTTTTGTTTTAAAATATAACGCCACAGCACTTCAAAACTAAATTCTGGTTTCAGTTATACATGTATAACTAGAGTAACATTTGAATTACAGATTGTTTTTGTAATACACTTACTCTGTTAATGGTTGGCGTAATAGTTACATGTAAAATGTTTTAGGAAACAAAACAAAAAAACAAACCTATCTGTACTAGTAATTCTTACATGACCACTTATCAAATAAATTTAGTAAAGCAACATACCCCCAAGTAGTCAAAAGTATTTGCTTTTCTTTAAGAACACTGGGAGGCAAATGTTTAAGAGCTTTGTTAAAGTATGGCTCATTTCTTGAAACAGTTTACTTCCAATGAAGGACAACAATTCCAGGTGAACCCAAACTATAAGAAGTTCCTAAGTCTTATATTTATATATAGGTGTACTGTTCCCTCACAGTAGGCTAAGTCTCTTAAAAAAAAAATCTCCATGTGTAATTGCAAGGAAAACAATTCACACCAATAAATACAGGTTTCAACAGTTCCATGCACGTTTGTTAGGACCTCCCTCTTTGGTTTAGAAATACAATGCATGTTTTGGTAGCATAAATCTCACCTTCTAGGAAGCCAGTGTGGTCCAGTGGGTAAAACAGGGACTGGGAGAAAAGCTGGGTGCCTATCTCCAGCTCTGCCACTGACTTGTATGACCAGGGCAAGTCACTTAACCCTTCTGCAACTCAGTTTCCCCATCTGTAAAATGGGGATAATGATACTTACCCACCTTTTAAAGTGCTTGATAATCTAAAGATGAAAGGTGTTAGGTAAATGCTAGTAATATCGTTCCATAGTGACCTAACTTAAGGCCAGAACTTCCTTTTTTCAATAGGATTATAAAAAGGTCAACAAATAAATCAAAGAAACTTATCTGCATTTTTAGGGGCAGAGACACTTGGAAATTCTAAATGCCTTTGTCTAGGAAAAGAACAACAATGAAATATGTCCAGAAAGAAATAAAGTTGGCATTAAAGACTTCTTCTAAACCATTTAATTAACAATACCCAAAAAAAAAAAAAAAAAAAAAAAAGCTCCATAAATCACACCTGTTAAAGCTGCTGGTTTGGACAGTGTACTATACTGGTTTTGAGTGGATATTACACTTTGACGAGGACTTAATGTGGGTGAAGAGACCAATGAAAGCTCCTCTATAATAATACTGCTTTTGGGATGGTTTTTAGGAAGTTCATTCAATCTCTGTTCCAGTGAATACTTCAGGAGGTCCAGCTTCTGGCTTGATTCATTAAATCTTGCTTGTGCCTTTTTAAAATAAAAAAAAATTGAAATATTCAATTTTTTTTTTCTTGAAAGGACATTTAAAATAAAGTATCAGAAATTGTAATGACGTAAATTACTTCTGAAAGTGCCTTTCTGTCGGTAACTTTCCCAGATCCAAGTAATTTCATCACATTTTTTGCACCTTCTGCTACAGCGTACTCTATCCTAAAATGATGTCGTAATTCTTCCATTCGGAGTTCAAGAGGGCTTATCACAGGTTTTGCTGCAAACAGAGACAAACAAACAACCTTCATTGAAGACCATGCCCATGTTTAATTTAGTTAATATTAACCCCTCCCCCGTATAAACAGAGGGGAGGGGAGAAGAAAAAAAATAAAGAAAAAAAGAAAGGAAAAAAAAAAGGAATGAGACATGAAGATTTGGTAGTTCAAAGAAAAGCTTGAAGTATGTCATAAAAGCAACAGTGAAATTTTAAGCATCTGCATTTGGAGGAAGAAATAATTGATCAGGGCCTCCTAATAAATGGGTCCTACTCCTCGAAGAGCTATAATTGCTAAACGATGCGAGAAAAAGAACATGTCTTCAGGGGAGTTGAGGGACAAAAGCCAAATCTCCCAAACATCATTCAGCTGGCAACAAGGAGGTTTTGAGATTTCCACATTTCTGAACCACACTCTGAGGATTTCTCTTTCAAACTGCGCTGTAGCTAAGCAGATCCCTGATCAGTTTCTGAGAATTCTCCTGCTTCACACGAAATCCCAGGGAACCTGGCTTCTGCCAGCACAGAGAATGTAAGGGGCCCCATATGCTGCCTTCCCCAAACAGTTTGGGTTAACCATTCTAATGTCCACTTGTTACAGGGTTTAGATTTCCTAAACAGAATTGGAAAGTTTCCTGGATATATTCCTTTCTGTTGAAAGCTCTAAGAGTAGTAGGAACACAAAAAGGCATTTGAAAGACCTTTCTAGCTTGAATACCTTTCTTTTTCTTTTGAACAAATGATATACATAATCTGTGTGCTAAGATGGGGTGTTAAAAAAAGCCAGAAGTGTCGCAAATGCAGAAACAAAGAAAACCAACACCACCCCCCCCCAAACAAACAAAACACACACACAGACACAGACACACACAAGCTTTTCATTATCTAGGATATATCCAGGCCCTGATTACAAGCATCCTCACACAACTTCGATACTCAGAAATGCATACAAGTAAAATTCAAGACTTAGAGATGTACCGATATGCCCACAATTTTATAGTACACTCATGCTATTATAGCTCAGGGGTAATATTTTTTTTTTTTTAATTTAAAGATTTCCAAAGAAATGCAAGTTTAAAACTACTTCTGAAATGCAGCATAAGTATTTCAAGTCAGGTCGTTTTAAAAACACTGGGTTTTTTAATTGTTTTTAAAATAGTTGTTTACTACTCAGTCTAGCCTAAATACCCATAAAGACAGCAAAAATTTGCCTCCATCTGTGCTCCCATTAGTAATAATGAGGTCAATCTATTTAAGTATGACAAGCAGGCTTTGTACCTGTGTCCGATTTTTTTTTTTTTTTAGGATAATGAAAAGATTATATGCTTTAAAGAAAATTACTAGTTATTGTTAAGACAAAAGAAAGCACGCATGAAGGGAGAACGAAGACCACAACGCAAAAATGGACTGCATAAGGTATAAGAAGGATGATGGAGAGAGATTGTATTTCTCTTTGTTAAGCTCAAGGTATTTTGCTTCAAGTCAGATGTATTTAGCATCCTAACACACACAACTGTATGCCTAGTCTCCGATTATTTTTGGTTCATGCAAGCTGTGTCTAACATTCCTATTAGAAATTTAGGATAACTCTGTGTGCATATGGGTACATATCTACATGGCATTCTGACATTAATGATTCATATTTCCTTTCTATTGCATCACCGTTATCAAAAGCCAATTCATTGGTCTGGACTGCCTGAAGAATCTGCATCCTTATAACTTCTATTTTTGTCTTGCTGTCCTGGAGCATCTGCTGAGCTGTGGCAAGAAGTTTTCGATCCTATTAAAACAAGCAAACAAACAAACAAGTTAAAACTGTAAACTCTTCATGGAACAAAACACAGTGAAAGCTTCGAAACTCACGTGCTCTAGGAACAAGAACTAAATCTATGTTGTTCATTTGGTATAGCAGACCAATTCAACTAACCACATTAGGATATTAGTGGAAATTAAGTTAGGTCAGAGGCATGTTCTGGTTGATTGAAGTTGCCACTACCATGGAAACTGTCTGTTTAAAGCTGAATAAAGGAGGCATAATATAGCAATGTTGCATGTGTCGATTAATGTTTTGTAAGCTGATACTAAAGAAAGGACATATTAAGTGCAAAATACCTCCACCCTATGTAGAATGACTCAAATTTACTGTGAGTATGAGAACTCTTCTAACAGACAAATTTGCTAGACTAAATCCATATAAAAATCATTGTACTAATTCACTTGAGCTGATTTTCAATCTTGAAATTAGAAATACGAAGTTAGATTACACAGCACATTATAAGTAAGTCTGCAGTATGTTTTTTTCCGAACAAATCAAAGCTGAAGATTCTTTTGCATTAATAAATACATAACATACGAGGGTTATGTCATTAGCTACTTCATCAGCAACTTAAAGTACAGTACTTTTCATCTAAATAAACTAACCTAACTCAACATTTGTTTTCAAAAGCAGTAACACAAGAAGCAGTTTAGAAGAGAACATTTCTGAAAATGAACTTTCAAACTAACCGATAATACCATTTCACGGTCAGGAGCGCAGACAGCCATCCGCACGTTTCTCAGGTATACTGTGTTTTGTCCTCCAGCTACTGGAGATCGGACTTACAATGGATTATCCAATGGTTCTTGGATGTGGAACCGTGCATGTGCTTCTATGGCTGCTGCATAGCTTATATGTTCTGGGAATTACTAGATAACTTAAAGGTGATCTGACTTGCAGTAAGAACAAAAAAAGGGGTATAAGAAAATTTAAGGCAGTCTATTTGTCCTGTCTGTGCTGTACCCATCAATCACAGTAATTAATAGCAGTCAGCGTAGATGAGTATCACACTTGTTATAGCCCAAAGGGTATTTTGGTTCACTCATTTTGTAGCCACTCTATAACCTCATTAATAAGTTACTTTCCCATGGACATGGTTTATACTTATATTTTTAATTTTATAATGAAGTTATCAATTATTTAAGAAGTTAAAGAAATTCAATTCTTCCCCTTACCACAACCAAGACAAAAGAACTGCAGACTAGCACAGATACCCAGAACTAGAAATACTGGCACTATGAAGTATACGGTGAGAAAAATCAGTATGCTGAGAAGAGAGAAATTTACCTTCATAGAGCTCCTCTCCGACCTTGTGCCTAATGTATTACTTATGCAGATATTTTAACACTGCCCTATGTTCTGCAGGGTAGATACACCAAGATATACACATAAAAAGCTTTTGGCTGCATGGGAAGAAATTGTGCCCCCTCTGCATACCACAGTCTCAGAACTTGGTTTTAAGTTTTAGTATTAATCAACATTTCAGAGAGATACCACTAGTTTTCATATTTTAAGGTTCCATGTTAGCTATCCGATTATTCAATGAGTACACTGAATTTCCTGAATAAATGCCTTCTCAAATACAAATGTCAACTTTTGAAATAACCGCCCTCTACAGCAAAGCATAGGATCTAAGTAACAGATTACAAGCAACTCTAGAATCCTGTATTAAACCTTGTCCATGCATCATTCTGATGTATAAATATACTGTAAGTGTTTCTTTGTCTGTATCTTCACTTTTATCTTATTTTTGATCTTGCTGCTCTTGATTGTCCCACATATCCTCTTACTGCAATAGATTTGCTTGCTTAGGGGCAACATCAGCTCTTCAATGTGTAGAATGGAAGTAATTCGGGCTTATAGAGATATCCTTATGTTTTCAAGAGACAGAAAATCCCATCTTCAGAATCAAAATGGATGTGTTACACTCAGCAGCTCTTTTAGCGTTGGAGGCTGAATACAAAGTATTTCAAGGCATCTCCTGAGTACAGAAGAACTGACAGCGCCTGTAAAGCTGATCGGCAAAGCTGTCGTGGGATCTCGGAGAACCCACACAAGTCCCAGGAAGGATGATCAATATCTCAGAAACACTGAAGTCCGGATAGGTTGAGCTGAATGTTATTGAAGCAAGTAGAGTAAAGTACAAGAGGAAAACCTTCCCACAAGATGACAGGTTTATTACTATTAACAGACTGCTTTTTCATTTTTAAGAAACAAATTATGACCTCCCTCCATTAAATTTAGGCCTGAAAATAATACAACAAATTTGAAATTAGATCATACAGAACACTTGAATAAAGGTCACAAAAGAATTGTTTTAAAGAGGGTCCTGCGACTACTTTTTGAAGAACTACTGGATTACCGGGGTTGGATTAAAACTGGGAATCTTCCACCCCTTTTGCCCACCTCATCCAGACAATTGAGTTGTTTTAAGCTCTCCTTTTTAAAATGTAATCACCATGCTCAAGCCTACAGTTTAAACCTGCCAAATTAACTCACTACTGAGTATTAAGAACACGAGAGAGTGAATACGCACCATTTCCATCCTGTTTGTTGAAGCAGCTGGCAATGCTTTTGTGTTTTCCAGCTTGCTCTCCCCAGTCCAGTTACTATATACACCCAATCTGGTAGGCTGATTTAAGCATTTACCAATTGCAAATACAAGATTCAATCATCAATTTTAATTACATGCCTCAATCATAAAGCAAGCCAGAATTTATCCTTTCTACCTAGCCTGATCAAAGCCTGCTAACAATGTCTAATATTATAGCCCGAGTGTTTAGTTAAGTTTTTTCAGGCTGTCATAAGGTTACTTACTGAGGGTTTATTAGGAACATAATTCATGCATGTCTTTTGATCCATTTGGGTCAGCCGATTATTATTTTAAAGTGTACCTGATGTTAAGTACATGGCCCCAGAGGATGTAGACTCCAGGGTTTCCAAGAGCTGAGGGACTGCGGTGCGTGGACAGCATTCCCAGACCCTTAGTCATAAGGTGCACTCCAGGTACTTCTTCCATCTGCTCCAGGCTAGTAGGTTACAGGTTGCTTTCAGATAAGGCTACCAAAGTACCAGCTTGTTCAGCAGAAGTGCTGCTGGGACAGAATGAGCTTGATGGCACGTACAGTCCATCTCGTCTAAACTCATTTTTCTGTGGAGCGAGCAGCTTTTGCTGAAATTTTTTCGAGGTATAAGAAAGTCATACAGTAGGCAGATACAAAGTAATCTGCCTCACCAGTCCCTAGCAGAAATTCACTCAGAAACATCAAGTTCCTTTCCACCACTTTCCAGTTAGTATCAGTTATAAGGGGTAGCAACACAATTCACCGATGTCTACTCTTCAAGTCAAACACTTCTTCTTAGTAAGTTCACTGGCCTAACTAGGTGTTGGCTCAGTCAGTTAAGAACTTGAAACATTTCAATTTACTATTGTCTGGACACAGAAACATCTAACCAAGCTACTACATACTATTTGTTAGATCTATGCTTGTGTTTCCCCTTAGTTTGGAAATTCATCTCCTTAATGATTTAGTAAAAGTCAATGGAAAGAACAGGTAATGAGTAACTAATGAAGGGTGAAGCGGCAGGTAAGTAAAGGACTCCTCCCCCCCC